ACTCCTACCCTGGTCAAAAGCGGCGATATGGGGCAAGAGCTTTCAGCGGGCTGTCGGGTGGCTCCTGGTGAGGATGCGACAGGCTAGTCTCTGCGCGGCAAGATCATGTCCCAGGCAGGCCCTCGCCTTTTGCCTTTTGCCTTCCGCCCAGTGGCACCTACGGCCATGGATGTCGGGATGCCCCTGCCCTGCCCTGCCCTGCCTGCCCTGCTCCTAACCGTTGTCCGCTATCCTGGCCGCCTGCGTCTGCTCTTTTCGTACTGTTGCTCTGTCGCTGTTGCCGTCTTCCTCCTGGGGTCATGGTTGCCGCTCTGTGCACTTTCCCGGTGGGCGATTGCCAATTGCCAATTGGCAGTGGGCCGGGGCCCCCTTCTCCGTCTGCCCCCCCCGGCCCATCCAGTCTTGCCAGTCAAACCCATGTCGACTTGTCCTGCTTTATTGCCGACCCCAACTTCTAGTTCCCAGCAATTCCAAGACCGTGTCTTCGCCTCTTCTCGCCCCTCTGGCTTGTGCCAAACACGTTGGCCATCTCTTACTGTCTCTGGCTTCGCAAGAGAGCAATCCCTCGTTCTTCAGACGGCACAACCCGCAAGTCTGACTCACTCTGTCTGTGGCCGCGCAAATCCCACCAAACTGTTCAAAAGCCGAGACGAACTCACCTGGATACTGGCGTGACGCTGGGTTGGCTCGTTGCAGTCCCGCAACCTTCGTTATTGCCGGATGAACGTCAACGAGGCATCAAACCTCATGCCGTCGCTTTACCGACACTAGACTTGGCTGCCAAAATTGGGCGGCCGGCGAACTCAAAAGCAAAAGGACCCAATCCTTTTGATCGCACTAACCTAGCTGCCACGGGACTAGGGGAACTGTAACCCCCCGAGACCTTGAAAAGCAAAGAGCCTCCCCGGATGAGCATGGCAAACTGAGTTCGGTACGATATTGACATTACCAAGCACCCACTCGAAGGTGAGGTGGCCAGTTGACCACCAACCGCCTGGGCCCTACGCATCGTGGACGTCAATGGTCTCCGCCAACTCGCTAATCTGCTCTGCCGATGATCAAGAGCTGCCCTGGAACATCACCAACTTTCACCATGCGTCCACGGGCGAACCAGGCCGTTCACTCACAGGTCTACCCTCCAGTTGCTTCCGACCCCTCACATGATCATGCCCTTGGGATGACCTCGCCGGCTCTTGAAGGCGCTGACCAACATTTGAGCCCCCAAAGCCGCCAAAACGGGACAGAGGCCAGCGCTTCAGCCACTGTTGGTCTCAATCATCACGGTGCTGTGCACCCACAGCCTATTGCCCCATCGAGTCTACCCATCTCAGGCATCACCACCAGTCAGACTCCCGCGCACTTGATACCGGATCCTGGTGAGATGCATGAGCTTCAAGAGTATCATGAGCAGAATGGAGCCGACGGTACCGAGGGTGCTTTAGCACCGCAGACGAATCTTGAAGCGTTTAACGCCGTTCCCATGGCAATGCAACATCCTCAACACGTCAGCATGCAGTTGGCTGACCCCCATCTCGAAGGCCTGCTCGAAACAACCAACTCGGGTGCCACTTCGGGGCCGCTCTCTCACACTGAGACTCTTTATCCACCCCACCTCACCGTTTCACCTCATGCCCCGATCGATCCGGTGGTGGTGAACTCCGAAGACCAGTCCTTCCTTCTGACAGCCCTTCCACCCGTGCAGCCAGCATTCGGAAGTCTCAATGCACCTGGAGTACTCACGCTGGATCTTCACGCACAACTGAATCTGTTCAGCACCGCCCAGCCCACGTCTCTCGGCCCCGAGAACCATGGCCTGAACGAGTTCCTTAGGATATGGGCACTGAGTGATCGATGGGGTTCTTCAAGCATGCCAGGCCCTCGGCTGGATAGAATCAGCGCCCAACTGGCCGCTAAGCCCATGCGTATGAGCTATGAAGAGCTTGACGGCGAAGGAATGGATTTGCAGGGCTTGGACTGGGAGGACATAGGCGTGTCGCGCAAGTATGCACGTGAGCGACGAAAACTCACTTACAAAAATTACACCAACAAGCTAGACTCCGACAAGTGGAAGGTGAGAATCTTGACATCTACTATAGAAGTATATCACGCTGACATGCTGTGTTGTAGATCCGTCCCTTCGACGGAGCGATCCCTAGTTCAGAGAACTTCTACAGGTTTCGGCGCATGGATTTGCGCCGTAACGTTCATCTAGCACATTTCCAACTACGAAATGTACTGGCTTGCGCTGACCGGAGCCACGTCTTCTACCCGGGTAGGGATGTGATCCACCGCATAAACCCTCTGTCTGGCCATTCCGACGTGGCTATGGATTTGAGTGATTTGCATCACGTCCAAATTTCGACACTCGATGCTAAGCATGGCATGCTTGTTGTCGGAACATTCAACGGGGAGTACTGTATGCGTAATGTCCACTCGCAAGACCCGAGGTTCACGGAGGGCCAGGTCACCAACAACAGCAGTTGCATCACAAATCACCTGCAGATTCATGAGTCGCGCCACTCGACCAGTCCTTTGGTCGCATTTTCTTCGAACGACCAAGGCTTCCGTGTCATGGACATCGCTACGCAGAAGTTTACACTGGACACGAAGTTCAAGTTTCCCATGAACTGCACCGCCCTTTCCCCCGACGGTCGACTACGTGTCATGGTCGGCGACAGTAATTCGGTCATCATAGCCTGTGCCGAGAGTGGCGGCCCCGTTCAGTGGCTCTCTGGCCACCGTGATCATGGCTTTGCGTGTGCTTGGTCCGAGGATGGCTGGACGGTAGCAACAGCAGCACAGGACAAGAGCGTCAAAATATGGGATGCTCGTCGGTGGACCAACTCGAGCGCTAGAGCCACACCTGTGGCTACAATCCGATCAGAGCTGGCCAGTGTTCGCGGACTGCGGTTTTCTCCAGTTGGCAACGGGCCTCCGGTACTTGTTGCGGCGGAAGAGGCCGACTTTGTCAACATTGTCAATGCACGCACGTTCCGTCACAAGCAGACGATCGATGTCTTTGGCGAAATCGGCGGAGTAGGATTCACAGATGACGGCAACGAGTTGAACATATTGTGTACGGACCGTCACCGAGGCGGTCTGATTCAGCTTGACCGATGCAACTACGGATCCAAGTCCGAATTCATAGGCTCTTTTCAGCCAAACACCATGGACGATATATGGAAGCAGCCTTACCGGTCTGCACTACACGATGAAGAAGGCCTCGACGAGGGGCTGACACGCGGTGGGCCAGCAGGTCCGCGCACCAGATTATACTGGGACGATATGGAGCCCTTTTGAAGCATTTTGCATGATACCCGAGCACATACGACGAAATGTCTGATGAGAGGAGATGACTTATGAGGGGCGCATTCATATCCCTGCATTGCAATCTGAACGGCGAAGCATACTTGAGTCTGCAAGCTTGGGATTGCCGTTTGACGTCGTAATTCACAACACGTGGCTTTGACTCTGCCGTTGCTTCCCTCCGCCCTCATACTGCATGCGGTATGATGACAGTCCGTGTGTCTGCCGAATCATGAACAGCGGCAAACATACGCAACGAGCACCTGGCTAGACAATGTTTTAGGAGGTAGAAGTGCGCTTGTATAAGATGTACGAGTTTGGCAGGTAGCATTATCTTCCTGGCTAGCAAAATCATAGTTACATTTCTACGCTGCAGAAACAGAAAAATCAAGTGGTGCTACGTTGGGACTCGTCGTTCCCGTCACAAGCTTGAGGCGAAACTGGCATGGCGATGATGCTGAGAGCTGGGACACGGCAGCTCAAGCTGTTGCGGACATGCCGTATAGAAATAGCAATGTTGAGTAGAGCTATGACAGTTTGTAGCATGAATATTCAATGCCGGGTCGCAATTGCAGAAGGGTCAAGAGACGATGACGACGGTCAAGTCTTCCTTTGTTTCACCCACATTTCCGCGCAACTTCTGACCGTTGGCTTTTTTTTTTTTTTTTTTTTTGCAGTAAGGATATCTAGTGAGGGAGCCCAGATCAAGACCCGCGGGCTTTGCTAGATTGTGTATTGAGTGAATAAAGTTCCAGAGCCTGCAATTCGAGTAGCACCCAAGAGCCGGCCGGCTTTATTAGTGTCCAGAAAGAGTCGTTTCGTGTGCGTTGCAGGCACCCACCGCATGTGGACCGCATGCCGGTCAGTCGGACCCCGCCGGATGGATGTAACTGTGTATGAATCGTTCGGTCATGGGGTCGGCCCTCTGTTCCCCCTCCATGACACCGTGGTTGTTTGAAAGAATTACAGCACGAGGAACGATGACCAATTTCCTAGTTTTCACAGCAAAAAGGATAAGACCGCGGGCTTGGATTGGCAGAGATCTGTGGCCAGGGTGTATACCGAAGCTTCACGATCCACGTATGAGACACTACTAGGACTGCTACTAGCTACAACATAAACATACATGACTGGGCGAGCAAAACACCCAAGAAGAATGGGAGAATACAAGAAACCGGGGGAACATCAGAAGAAACCAAAAGGATGAATCCCCGTGTAAGCTCTTCATCTTGACTCGATTCTCCAAACCAGCCTGACTGGTGCACGGCGAGAGATCAAGTTGAACCCCCCCCCCCCGGACACACATTGGATGAGGCGAGATGGCAAAAAGCTTTTGTTCAATGCAGATGAATCATTTCGAAAAGCAGGAGGGAGCGCTTCCCATGCTTGGACTACCGAAACAGGAACATAAAAAAAAAGATATGCAAGGTTCGCCTATATCATCCAAGATTGAGAGAAATGTTGGGGGGTTTTTTTTTGCTCCGCTGCACATAACGACTAGCCAGGTGACGAACGTTTCCGAGAGAAAGAGATGACCCGAGGACAAGGACATGGCGTTATCAACGTTATGGTCCGTTTCATATACATTGCAAGCTAGTGAGCTATGGGCGGTATGCAGGATAGGTTGTAAATAACAGTCGATATTTGTCTGGCCAAGTGTCGACGCGGATTATGGAAACATGAGGGGTGTACGTCTAGTACGAAGGCGTGTTACCACCCGCGAAGAGATGACCGCAGCCCCAGGACTGCTCGCAGCCGCAAGCACCAGGATCCTTCCACTCATCGTCGTGGAACGAGAAGAAAACGGTCTTTTCACCAACAAGCTCACGGATGGAGGTGATGGCCAAGGTCTGCTCAGCCCTACCGGTGGTGGCCTTGCCGTTGGCGCTGCCGCCGGTAGGCCAGCCGCACTCAAGGTTGAGGGCAGGCTTGTTGCCACAGATGCTGTTCTCGAGGATGTCAAGCTGGTTCTTAACGAACTTGCCGGCATCCGCAGGGGCGACCTCAGCGTTGAAGTAGGGGTGAATCTGACCACCGACAACGTCAACGACGGGGCAGATGATAGCGGCAACCTCCTTCTGCTCCCAGACACTCAGAGTCTCGGCAGTGGTGTAAGGACCCTTGTAGCCGGCAGCGGTGCACGACTGCTTGACGGAGACAATGAGGGTCTTCAGAGAGGCGGCGTCGCAACGGCCCTGGAAGATGCACTCGTTACCGATGACAAAGAGGTCGACAAGGTCCCAGTGGCCGGCCTGTCCCCACTTGATGATGGCGTCGATCTGCTCCTTGACCTGAGGGTTCTCAGGGTTGCAGGTGTCCTTGACGAAGATGCCAATGATCATGCGGAGGCCGTGCTCCTTGCAGGCGTCACCGACGTTCTCGAGGGTGGAGCAGTCAGTGGAGTAAACGCGGATGGTATCGAAACCGGACTGCTTGATGACGGCAATGTCCTTGTTGACCTGCTCGGCGGTC